CCCCAGGCCTCTGAGGGGCTGTACGGCCGGCGGCTGCGGGGCCCCTCCTGGAGCTGTGCCGGTGCCTCACGGCCGGGCAGCAAGGGCTGCCTGGGCTTGGCAGGCCGGTTAGGGGAAGGAAAAAATTTAAAAAAAAAATGGAACAAAGCTTATTTTGGGTTTCAGGAATAACGTGTGCTGGCTATATGGATTACCGATCAGTAGTAATGTTAGCAGTGCCATCCGCTGAAGCTATTTCTGTCCTAGGCTTGATCTTAACTAAAAGCATGTTGGAATAAAAATTTCCGCGGTGAACATAAAGTGGAAAGTGGTACCTCGCCTCCTCCACTTTGTAGCTGGGTGTACCGCAGTGCTTCAGAGCTTGTCCTTAACTTTCAGGAGTGGCTGTGTTCATCTTAATTACTTCTGTTCTGGGCAGATGACTGCGTTTTATGCCTCTCATAAATATACTGACTTCCTATCTTACACCGTTTCAGGCAGGCTGTTTGAATTGTTTACTATCTTAGGAGAATGCTGAAGGGAAGTCTGTTATGTGATGCTAATACACGCATAAATGTGTTTTGTTTGTAGCCCAAAATGTTCCCAACTCTGATTGGGAAAAGAAGGTAACCGAATACTTCAAGGAGAAATTAAAAGAAAATAATGCTACTAACTGGGTAAGATTGGTTTATTCTTTGGGAGTTACACCCTTCCTAAATTTCATTCTTTTGACCTCTTAGTTATTGCAGCAACATGCTCTTGAGAACTTTTTCCTTTTTGTGATAAGTACACTTCCAAATTTTAGGCCTAGACTTTGTGATACGTTGTTTACGTTTCGGTTGCTTTAATCTTTGTAAAGCAAAGATGTAAAATCCCGACTGAAACCGAAGAAGCCCACCCCCTTGACTTCAGTATACTTACTGTTTTGCCCTGGGCCGTAGCTGCTGATCGCTGCCTGTTCGTAGTGAAATCCAGTAGATGGCAGGAGCTGACAAATACTGTCATTTTGGAAGGTGTTACTGTCTGCTGTGAGTCTGCAGGAAGTGTTTGCACGCCACAAGTTTCTGAACTGCTGTTTAGAAACCCCTTCTTTCGTGATCTTTTGTCGTTATGCTGCAGACTGTGTGTGGGTTCAACAAATAGGTGCTTGGGCTTTCAGGTTTTAGGAAAAAATACCTTCTGTTAAAACTCTGCCTTACTGGGCTGGATCAGGCCTGGGTTTGGTAGTTTAGCAACGAAGCTATGCTTTAGGTCTGAAAGTAAAGCTGAGTTCAGAAGCTGATATTTTTCTAAAATACTGGTGAAAATGGCTTTGTGGAACACTGCGAAGTGGATTAGAAACTTTCATATCAAATCTGTTCCACTTATGGCTCAAAAATAACTGAAAATGACTGGGTTGTTTTTTTTTCTTCCTCTGTCAGTGAGAGTATTCTGTAATTAATATTTCAATGACAGTTTAAATCGAAGTGTAGATGGCAAAATTGTGTTAAATTTACATTAGAAGAAACTGAAAGTGCATTTTCTTGCTCAAGAAAAACATGAGGCAATATATGTATGTTTGTTAAAATGCCATTTCCTATAGGGCCACTTCTGTTTTTTTGTTGTATTTTAATGTTGGATGTGGGTTCTTTCTTTGCTATCGGGAAACTCTATGCTTATTGCAAGTCTCATTCTTTCAAGTTACACCACATGCTTAGGCGTTGATTTATTTATTTTTTTTCCTTCTGTTTTTTCATTGTCATGTAAACATATGTGAAAAAGGTTCCCCCAGTGTGGACTTGGAAATTAACATACAGGTTTTCCACAGCCCTTTGTTATAAGAAATTGTGTATGCAATTGCTATGGTACCACTCATACATAATACACGATAAAAGTGCTGTTAACTGGGAATAAGTAATAAATTCTATTTAATACTGCAGCTTCAATAAATAATTCCCAGTTTAAGGGTTAGTTTCAAATGTTGTACAGTTTTCATACAGCTTCAGTGACTGAAATGCATTTCTTTTATCGTCCAGTATCAGGATTGAGAAATGAATGGGACTGGTGGCTTTAGAACTGGAAGAATTTGGGAACTGTTAAGTGTCCAATAATCGTAACTATTATCTGCAACAGCTATTGCAGAAACTTCCGGTGTTGAGATGAACACACTTTGTTCCTGCTTGGATTAGGGCAGGAGATGTACTCAGAAAATATTATGTTACCTGATGAGGCAATTAGTCATACCAACAACAACAGTACAGGGTTTGAGGCAAGTAACTGTACAGTAGGGTATTCCAGATGATCAGAGAATAAGTTGGTAACAGCTTTTATGCTGGTTTTGGCTTACTTCAGAGCATTTCTTAATGTATACCAGTTGTTTAGTATCAGCTCTTTCTTACAGGTTCCATCCCTGAATGATGTTCCTGTACATTACCTAAAACCCAACAGTTTAGTGAAATTTCGCTGCATGGTTCAAGATATGTTTGATCCTGAGTTTTACATGGGAGTATATGAAACAGTTGACCCAAACACAAATGCACGTGTAAGTGAAGTACTGATTTATTATTTCAGTAAATGCTTATAATTATTCATTTTAGTTCACATATTTTGCTAGTTTCTGAGTTAAAACTATGGAGTCTGGACACTATTTAATAGTAACTCTGTATGGCTCAAATGGCATCAGTAATACACCACTTATGTTTCTGTTGAATTACCAAAATAATGAAAGCTTTAGCAGTGTCTTTGAGGGACTTTTGACTGCAGTGATTTTGGTGTAAGTAATTCACGTTCAGGGTACTGTCAGAAGTGAACTGATTGCATTGCCTTTTCCTTGACAGGTTTTACATTTTGGTAAATACAGAGATGTGGCAGAATGTGGGGTAAGTTATACAAGTTACATGAATTTTAAGATAAAACATTAGACAGAAAGATGCAGTTTATAAGGCTGGTATAGTTTATTTGGTATTCACCAGTGGATTCCTGGAGATACTGCTCTTAAAATGCAAAATTAATCTCAGGTTTGGAAAGCAGAGTATTCCTAACTGCTCATGCAGTTAAGCGTTTTAAGTTCATCAGGCTCCAAGGTGTTTCTGTTATATTTAAGATTTCTTTGCTTGGAAGAAGAGGGGAAGTGCTCTTGATTTTGAAACTTTCTGCTATGGGAAACAATATACATTTGGTAGTGCAGTGCAGTTAGAATCAAAGCATTATAGATACAGACTGACTGGATTTGTTGTTTCATGACTATGTAGTCTTGCGTGTTTGTTGGAATTTCTGGGTGAGTATCTGAATCTGTGAAATGAGCTTAAAAAAACCTCTAATCAGACTCTTAACAAATTTTCTGTTGGTGTTCTAGCCTCAGCAGGAAATTGATTTGAACTCCTCACAAACAGTCACCTCAGAGAGACAGACTTTCTACTGCGTTCCAGTGCCTGGTGAATCAGCTTGGGTGAAAGAAATATCTTTTTTGACTGAGCTATTGCTCTGTTATACAAACAGTGATTACCGAACAGTTCATTAGATTTAAGGAAATAAGTTTTCTTTTGAGAGAATCGGGAAAGGTGGTAGGCGTAGAAAAAGAAAAAAGGAAAAATGGGTGGTGTGCTATATGCACAAAGAGGATGCAAATGAATTTAGGAGCATTGTTTTTTGATTTAGTAGGGATTTAGTCTAGATTTTCATGTTTGTTTGGGAGGATCTTGAAAATTTCAGATAAATTTCTATTTGCAAATGCATAGAAAAAGAGAAACCTCAGTTGAACCATGAGCATTTCATTGGTGTTTTCTGATTAAATTAGGACAGTGAGAGTCTCTTACAAAGGCCTGTGAAAACACCTGTAGCTGAACCTGTAAGACAATAATTCCTGGAAAACTGAAGTGTTGTGGTTTTAATAGTTTGAGCACAGTATGTAATTTTCTCAGTAAGTAAAGGAAACATTTTGAGTGAGGAGAAACAAATTATCTTTAGTTTCTCCTAGTAAATGGAAGTTAAATTAACCTGAGTGGAATGGATATGGGATGCTTATTTTAACACCTTTCAGGAATTTTATGTTCTCTTCTCCAGGGGAAGGTCTAGAAAACCTAGGATGTGTTGCATTTTGTAAAAAGATAAGAATTTGATGGTAAATCTATAATGATTTGATATCTCCTGTTTTGAGTTCAGAATTTAATAGAACTTGTCATTGGCACAGAATGCCAATGCAATTTTAAAAATAAGTTAACACAATTTTCATAATAAGATGATTGATAAGAGTTAGTGTTTGAATGAAGCTTACAGCAAAGTACTGCAGCAGCGGAAAGGTAAAGTGAGCTAGACTATTATTGAAGTAGTAAATACTATTTCAGTGTTTCCCCACCATGCTAAGAAAAGGAAAAGTGTATTAGCTTTTTCAAAATCAATTTACAAGTGTAGTATTGCTAGTATCTTACAAGTATGTAAGCATTTTCTGTGTTTCTTTTTAAAGTAGTAACAATAATAACTGTATCAGCAAGTCTTTATATTAGAATTTCTGTTCTTTCGGGTTGAGGTGTGGGAGAGACAAAAGTTCTCAAGATTTTTGAGTTGTACCTGACCAAAAGCATGGTGTGTTAAAAAAAAAAAAAAAAAAAAAAAAAAATTTAAAAAAAATCAACCCATTTTAGAGATTGATAGTGGAATAGCACTTTTTTTTTTAGTTTCTATTTTCAACAAAGCCAGTGATGGCTGTACATTTCTTAAGCAGGTTATTTATGTATCTAAAGAGATGACACCTAGATAACAATTTGATGAATTGTTTTAGTGTCTTGCTCAAAGTAGGATAATAGTATTTTGTTTAAAAAAAACCAAACAAACCAACACAACAAACCACAAAATAACTTTGCTTGAATTTTCTTAGCTGAGTCTGTGGTTGTCCTTAATCTGCAATTTTACGCATATGTTAGTTCAAGCCAAGCTCGAGTTAGTCCTTCAACATCCTACACACCAAGTCGCCACAAGAGGAGCTATGAGGAAGATGAAGATATGGATCTACATCCATCTAAACAGAAAGAGCAACATACAGGTGATAGTCGTTATTGATGAGTAGTTCTCACGATATCTTTCCAGAATTTGCAAAAATTTCATTTTCAAGAATAGAAATATTTGCAATTGTTTGAATCAGTAGTGTTGTTGCAGCCTTTGTAACTCATTTAGTGGCTTTGAAGTCATCAGTGGTTTAAACTGAAGTAATTTGGGAGAGCCTACAGTGCTGCAGTGGATATGGTATGACTTGCTGGTAGTACTTTCTAGAGTTAATTCCTAAAACTAGTATTTTGTACAGCAGCACTTGTATATTGCCTTTTGTATGCAACAGCACGCAAACAATTCATAGCAGCAGGCTGAAATTTAGGAGTTCTTGTTTAATTTCTCACCCTGTTGCAGATGGTAATCTGGGGAGAATCATGTAATCTTGTTTCTCACACTCAGGTTATGGATTTTATTGTGTAAATTAAAGCCAAACGTGTCAATTAGGCGTCGCTTTTCTACAAACAGTAGTACATATGTAAAAAACATCTTCCAGCCTTACTTCTTTTCTAACATGATTTACTAATCCACCGTCGGAAAGGAACCAGATTAATACCAGATACCTGTAGCATCCTGAAGAAAGCTATTAAACTCTTTAAGAGGAAGGTATTTCGAACACTAGCAGTGTTCAGATGGTGTGCAGTTCTTATTGATGTTGTAATCGGTTTGTGAACTGTTTGTTTTGATGCTCATCTGTGGAGATGCCAGTTGAACTGGCATGAGCGTTCTCTTGGAGATTTTGGCACTTTTCTTTGAACAAGATAAAGTGGTTAGTTTAACATTGTCAGTTCAGTTAAAAAAGAACTGTAGAAGCTATTATTTTCTTTTGTTCAGCATTCTATGTCTGTCAGGTTCATTAGCTGAATTCAGGTTTTTCCTTTTGTAGTTTAACCACTTTGCAGGATAGTTTAGACTGTTTTATCTTCATACTCGGACTGATCAATTTGTAGAACAGATTTTTATAGCTTTATTACTACTGAAACTCTACAGAGATTTTTCGTTAACCATTTTGTTGATGCATATTCTCACCTTTAAGAACTGTCATTTTTCAAACATGAGGTGCAGAAAAATATTACCTTTGCATACAGCCTCATGGAATTTAGAAAAAAATCTTTCACACAGGTTAAGCGTTACATTTTGAAAATCAGATTTCTGGCCATGTTTGAGTTTCTAAGACACGTAGATCTTTACCAGTATACTCTCTCACACTTAACTTGTTAATATAAAATATGCATTTGTGAGACTTTTCTATTCTGATTAAGGGTATCTTCTGTCAAATATATTGCATTAAATGTTTTTGTCTCGGACACCTTGTTAAATTAGCTTAATTCTGAAGAAAGTTATTCATTTTTGCATTTCTGTTTAAAGGGTGTACGAATCCTGTATTTTTCAGGCAGCGGAGGTGATATCCATGGATGTGTGGAGCCAAAGAGATTAGAAACAGAAGCTTCTGCAGGTCATCATCTCATTTCTCCCAACTGCTCCCCTCCACTTGACTTAAATTTTCCATTGCCAGGAGAGAAGGGACCAGCATGTCTTGTAAAGGTAACACAAGTGGAGAGATGATGAGCATGGCTGTGGCCTCAGTGAGGCAGACAGATTCTGAAGTTAGAATGTAAGTAGTTAGTCTTGCATTGGTTCATTAGGCACAGAAATTCTCTCAAGTCCAGAATTTTGTTTATATAGATAATTCCATTGTTGGTTTTCACTCTTACATTGTTTCTCTTCGTGAGTGCATTGTAATTGCTGAAATCATTCAACAGCATTTATTAGAGCTTTCACTTTCACACTACACTTAGTTTTCAAAAAAAAAAAAAAAGTTATTACTACGTGTAGCTGGTATGGTCTCTTGGTATTTTTCTTTTAGGATTTGTCCTCTAAAGGAAAAAAGTTGTGATGGAACAAGCCAAAAGAAAAATAAACTACGTGGTTTTGCATTGGAAACAGTTTCTGATTCACTAATACCCTACGTTGACTATGAGACTTCCAACACAATTTCTATGCTGTTACTGTGTTGAATGCTCTCTTATTCAGCAGATCTTTCTAAATCAGATTAGAATACAAGCGTCTGCATTTGTGTAGCAAAAGAATGCCAGCAGGAAGATGCATGCAGTTGTAGAAAGTAATTTTTCAGTATAAGCTTACTGACACTGAGGACTAGGAGACATCTCTTCACACAGACTGTTCTCAGTCTCCAGTTGAATCTACTGAGATTCTTTCTTTCGTTGGTGCATGTGTGTGTGCAGTCCTGCTTCTGGCCCATCTGCTTCTGTATTTTATTATTTTTCTCTTTGTGACAGGTCTATGAGAGCTGGGATAATTTCAAAGTCAATGATGTTCTGGAGGTATATGGTATTTTGTCTGTGGACCCAGTGCTGAGCATAGTAAACAATGAAGAGAGGTAAGGCTCCTCCCCGATGTGTTATCCTGAAATGAAGGAAATTTTTAGTTCAATGAACAAAATATTTTGGCTGTCCCCTTAATACAGACAGGGAAATGTGTAAATACGTAAGTTATGCTTAAGAGGTTGATTCTGTTGCTTAAAAAAAGCTTGATGTGGAAAGTGTTAGATCCACCATCCTGTAAACTGAAGTCTGTTGTACTCGGGTACGTCCATACCCTTGGATACACGATGTGTCTTTTTTTAGGTTGCTGTAGAGTGTATAAAGAAGGTGTTTCTATAGCTAAATGGTTTACACTCTTTCATGCTATTAAACTTCCAGTGAATGAGTGAATAGTGAAAAAAGCTTTCAAATAAGCTTTAAAAGTATAAAATGTCCTTTTGAAATCATTTCTAAGTCCATGAAAGTTGTTACCCTAAACAGTTCTGAAGAATATAAACAAAAGTTTGCATGGAGAGTGAAAGTGACCAAAATGAGTAAAAATTGGGTTGATTTTTTCATTAATTAAGGTATGTCATCACATTACACCACTCATAGAAACTTCCCATATCACCTTCTGATTTGCAATTAATTGCTTGACCAAAAACTAAGCCAGGAGGATGCAAGAAGTCAATTTTTAAAATAAAACTGTTGACTGATCTAACATATGTACTACTGAAGCCTTGAACCATTGCACTTTAAATTATTTCAGTTGGTGATTTTGTTTATCTTTCTGATAATACAATATGGAGAGGGCAATGTGAATCCTTTATAGTGCCAACTTCTTAAAAGTTAGCTCAGCCTGGTCAGCTGCTTTTGGTTATCATCTTTCTGACAGCTAATCCCAGACTGACAGCTCAGTTGGTCTGTCATAGGTTGTTGGGGTTTTTTCCTGCATGTCATTCTGTCACAAATAGACAAAATGGTGGCATTTAGCAATGTTTTGAATGCAAACAAAATAAATTTCTTTTCATGGAAAGAGTGGATAGGCTCTTGGTGGACTGCTGAAGAGTCTTTGAAGTTATAAAGCCTTTCAGTGCTTAAAACCAGTACAAGTTGATTTAAACTGGTACTGAACTTTACTATCATCTGTTACAGTCACTTAAGGGATTTTAGTTTCTATGTAACAGATGAAAACCACCTGGAAATAATTTTGTAAAGCATCATCAGGGAGAGCAAAGCTTTTGTATCTGAACTCTTAAATTAAGAAGTAATACCTTCAAATTTGAGCTGAGGCACATAAGGATTTATTTACCTTTTTTTTTTTAACTCAGCCAGTGATATAGCTGTTATGTGACTGTCCAGAAGATCTTATCAGGCTCCGGAACCCAGTGGAGTATGAAAATCTTACATGTGCATACACAGTCAAATGTAATAAATCATTAGCTTATTTTTTCAAAAGTTACTGTTTAGACTTCATTAGGTACATGCCGGACAGAACAATGTGTAATATCTTATTTGAAGCTACATGTGCTTTTGTTTGGTTTTCAGATATTTGGGGTTTTTTAGGAGACTTAAGATTTTATTGTTTTCTAGAAATAATAGAACCCAAATTTTTTTTGGTCAAGCATGCTTTGGCATTTCTGTATCATTTATATAATTGTGATTCAGTATTTATGTTGTTCATAAAAATCATAAAGAAGGTACTTTGAATATGGGAGGAGCTAGCAGGAGCTGGGAGTGGATGCTGTTTGTTCTGATGTGTTCTTGGCCTGGTTCCAGCTGCTCTTAGTCAGATGGAGAGAAATTTGTGTGGAATGTTTCTAAGTCCAGTTGTGCTGTGCCCTTTCCTAGGGACAGCTCAGCCCTCGATCCTATGGAGTGTATGGACACAGCAGAAGAACAGAGAGTGCACAGTCCTCCAGCCTCATTAGTCCCCAGAATCCACGTGATTTTGGCACAGAAATTACAACACATTAACCCATTACTGCCTGCCTGCCTTAATGAAGAGGAGAGTAAAACCTGTGAGTATCTGAACTTGACCTCTCTCTGTGTACTAGTACATGTGAACAAGCACTTCTTTGCTCAGACAAATACATCAGTGGCAGGGTTTGAATTTAAATCTTGTTAAGTGAAGGAACCGTTCAACTACAGAACTGGACAAGATACATGTGTTTGCTCGATGCTTACATGTTTCTTTTTCTGACCTAAATGTGATTTATATGAAACTTGGGTTTGCATTCTGCATGCCCAAGGATTTTACCAAGTTGTTCAGCAATAATATTTTATTTGTTTTCAAATGGAGTAGTGAATTGCTGGAAATCTTGATTTCCAGTTTAGTTTAACAGTGAAAATAAGAAACATACTGACAACATAAGAATCATAACACTGTGAAGTAACTAATTATGTTTTTAAGCAACTGTGCTATTCCATGTGGCCTGTTTGACTGTTATTTTTTGTCTCTGAATTATTGCATGCAAACCTCTGACTGATATTTAGCATTTTCTTCCTTGTGTGCCTTGTATTGGTTGTCCTGAGCAGTGCTACGTGCAAGGGATTTCAGTTCTGCCTTTTAATATATATGGATAGGCTATCAATTCTAGAAATTTGGCTCCAAACTGTACAGCCTTCTGCAAATGCATTACACAATATCTAATTTTAAAAAAGGGAACATTTCCAAGAAAATGAGTGACTCAGGTTATCGAAAGCCAGCAATTGCTCAGCTGGAAAACCCACAAATGTTTGTTTCCTAGGAATAACCATTTTTCTTCATCAAACTGTACTGGAAAGTAAGACTTGTACAGAGAGAAGAGGGTGAGGAACAGCAGGTTTTCTGACATTTGTTGTCTTCTGCTCTTTTATCAGTTGTTACTAATTTCATGTCTGAGCTGTCACCAGTGAGAGCAGAGTTGCTTGGGTTCCTCACCCACGCCCTCTTGGGAGACAGTTTGGCTGCTGAATACCTTATATTGCATCTCATCTCTACAGTGTAAGTATTTAGATGTTTCTTGAGAATTTATATACTCATGTTTTAAAAAGAATCTCCTATGGGGTTCTCTATCACTCTGCAAATTAATGGCAGAAATAGCTTCAGCAGGACTTGTTCCAGTAGTACTTTGTCCAACTAGAGCTGTCCTGTCATAAGAGACACTGTAAACAGATTTGTCTGAAATAACAGTAAGCTTCTTAAAGGCCAGTTTTGTGGCAGTATGTCCTTTCAGTGTTCCTTTGAGAGTTGGACAAAATCTCCAAGATACACTTTTAAACAGAGGTATGAAAAGATCTTTTTATCTCTAGCTTCTTTATTGAATAGGACATGCCACTGACTTCTCAAAGACGGCATTTACTAACTGCAATAATTATTGTTTAGGTATTAAAAGATACTGAAAGGTACATTCTGGGAATTTGTTTAATTACATGTAGATGTGTTTAATGGTAAGTTCAAGTGCCCCCCATTTATCATGTGACAGAAATTTACCTCCTGAGCTGATGCTGTAGCTGGATGTGTATGTGTTGTGATCTGTCTTCATGTCTGATTAAAGTGGATTTGCTTAACCTTCTCTTAATGTTGGTTTAAACTGTCACTGGATGAAAGAGCAGCATCCTGTCACTCATTAAAATTTCAGGTGTGAAACTTCAGACAATATGTTTTCATTAGATGAAGTATAGTCATTATGCTCAAATTTAATTTTAGTTGTTATTCAAAATGTAAATGGATTTCATTTTTAAAAAACAGTAATTTATTGGTAAATAAACCACTTGTTTTATGATTTTTCAAAACTTCCATTCTGCTACAAAGTGAATAGTACAGCGCAAATTTAACAGAAGTGTGTACAGAGCTGTAACTGGACTCAGCATCTTGCCTTTCTCATACCTGCAACTGATATGTAAAAAGCCGTTAAGATATTTCTCAGCCTCAGTGGGAGAGGTGGTATCAAGACAGATCCAACCATAATGCCATGGCAGCATAATTATGAGCTGACAAGATTTATGGTGGTTATACTCTGCCCTGAACCCTTTTCCCCATGTGAATATAAGTAACTGCAATATCAGTATGCAGGTTTTGTTTTAATCTGTGCACACTTTGTTCTTGGGACTGTGAATGCTCTAACACTTAGACTAGAATGTGTTTTCTCTCTTAGCTGATATCACAAAAAAGTTGAAATTTGTCAAGAATGGGGAGAAGATGTACAGTAAGAAGAGGGAGAGGAAAGCTGAGGGCAGGTAAAGGAATCAGCATGATAAGCAGGGAAACTGAGATTGGGCAACAAGAAAGGAAAAGGATGAAGTGTGTTTACTGAGTAACAATAGAGCACAAGAACAGAACGTCTGGAAAGTACATTGCAGGATCTCAAGCACTATAAACGTACTGCTTTTGTGCAATGCCCCAAAGTCTTCCAGAGCAGCCTTCAGCCAAACTTAGCTCCTTGGACACTGGACGAGGAAGAAAAGGTGGCTATTATTTATGTATGTATTGGTATTGAAATCCTGCTAGCTATCAGAGAGCTGCCCAGTGCTCAAACTGACTGAGACTTGTATTCACCATGCTAGTCAGATGCTTGCCTAACCTGTGTTGGTTTTGGTTTAGTTATGCAAGACGAGATGTGCTTCCTCTGGGAAAATTCACAGTCAACTTGAGTGGATGTCCAAGAAACAGCATCTTCACAGAGCACATATACCGCATTATCCAGCAGCTTGTTCCAGCAGTAAGAATAATGCTTTAATATTTCTGATAGTAGATATTGGACTAATTGCTCCAACCAAATAAACATATTTTAGTTAAAGTCAGGCCTCTTAAATGAAGGCTCCTGCTATCTGTGTAGGGTCAGATAAAAGCAGAGATGTGGCTTGCCTGTCAGTTGAAGTCCCTATTTACCTACTCATCTAGGATGAATATGGAATAAAATTATACCCTCCAAGGTTTTAAGTATGAAGCACCTGTCTGTCAGGTTAACTTTGTCGTTCTGACTGATATGTTTAGACATTTAGGTCATTTAATTATCACGTTATTACCGTTTATCCCCAAGTTTGTGGATACTGTTCTGCAGAAAATTCATAGTAATTCCATTTGGGGTCATAATAATTGTATTGCTGCAGTAAGTTTTGTTTTACTTACTATGAAAGTTCACGGTTATAGCTCTTGCTGAAGGAAGCAGCATTTACTGGGGAAGCTGGAGGAGAGGAAACGTGCTGATTAGTTTCTTTTCTCATTGCAGTCCTATCGCCTACAAATGACCATTGAAAACATGAACCATTCACGATTTATCCCACACAAAGACTACGCAGCTAATCGCTTAGTCAGTGGAGTATTGCAGCTTGCCAGCAACACTTCCCTTGTAGTAGATGAGACTCAGCTTGAGCAGGGACAGCTTGACACAACAGGTAGATTTTTTTGTTTGTTTGTTTTTTTCTTAAAAATCTCATCTGGAAGGTTAAAAGTTGTTATATTTTAAGACAATGATGCAAATTATGTCCCAGTGATAACGCTCTATTACAAAACTGTGGTTTCTGTATCATATTTAATTGCTTGGACTAGCTTCCTGCTGGTCTTCAGCCTTCTCAGGCAACTTAAGGCTTGATCTCCTGGATTTTATTTTTTTTTTTCCCTGTTTGACTTTCTGGAAGTTTCTGGTGTTTTGCTCAGAAATGCCTGTGTTGAGTCAAAATCTCTATCCCAGACCACAAATGACAGATAATGGAACAAGAAGGTTCCTTGTATAGTATAGGTTTGTTTGCATTGTAGAGAACTCCGGACAGTGTCTTTGTCACTTGGTGGAAAAGGCCACTAATTTGAATAAATCTTTAGACCAAAATACCTCTGATTCATTAGAATGGCCTTTCAGTTTCCTGTGAAGAAGTGGGGGAAGCATATGCTGCTGCCTTATGCTTTATACTTTTACTGTATATATGGAAACCATCCCTGAAAACCCAACTGAAAATTGGAGATAAAAAAAATATATTACTGTGTGGAACAGAATGATGATTCTGTCTTGTAAGCTGATATCTTGTAAGCTGCTTGTAGCACTGTGCAGTATGCTTTCTACAGAGCTTTAGATAATTAATTTTATTATAACCTACATAAGAGGTTGCAGTACCTATTAAAAGTTCCGTAACTGGAGAATGCATATGCATAGTATGGATATCTGGTGATTTCAAGGAAAGAACAGGAAATCACTGGAAGTAACTTTATTGTAAAATAAGAGTATCAGTGCTCTGTCCTGTTCAAGTACTTAGTTTGGCAGAACTAGTGAGGTTTAGATTTCAGGTTGATTCGATTTAGAAACATAATTTCAGTTTAGGTCTTTTTTAATTACTGCTGTTAAAAGTTGTTCATTGGAATTATTTACTTGGTTTTGAGTCTTCAGTATTTTTTTGTTACTTTGCTTTATTAAAGTTACAAAATTTCACTAAAGAAAATAATAAAACTAGTAGAAATCTTTGCATTGTCTGTTTCCAAAAAAAAAAAAAAGTCCAACATGAAAAACTCCCATTCACAGGAAAATCTTGCTCTGCTCATTTACAGGTTTTCTAAAATGTTTGTTCTTCATGTCTAAAAAACCCTCAACATCTAATGCAAAGTAATATTTTAAGTATTAAAAGTTGGAGATAAAATAGGCCTGTTAATTTTCTCATTTTTGTTGGTGTGATGTTCTCTACTGAATTTAGAGTTTTAAAAGTAGGAATGTTTAATTTCTTGTAACAATGTTGGGAACAAAATTTAATCCTAGAGAAGAGTAAGTGTCTTAACAGATTTAATAGTTGGTCTGGAACTGTTAGAAGTAACAGTTTAAGAGATTCCAAATGGGAAAATGTCCCAGAAGTAAGCCATAATATTAAATATGCCTTTATTTACTAACTTTGCCTTTATTTACAGTATAGTAAATTAATATTAACTCATTAAAGGCAAAAACATAACAATGGATGTGTCATTTGATGCAGTAATGCTGCTGAAAAGAAATTTGAATTGCTGGGTACATGCCAGTATTTCAGAGGGAGAATTAACCAGTTAATTTGTCAGTTTTAACTGTCTAGATCTTAAATAGCTTCAGTCCAGGTAAGACTTTTATTATCATTTTGCCAAATTTTTATAAGTGTTTTTTTCAGCTGTTCTGGTCTTGCTAGCCTATCTAATGTGTTCTTTATCCAGCAAGACTTTTTTTTTTTCCTCCCTCTTAAACTCCATTTGCTGTCAGGTAATTTTGTCCTCGAGGAGATAATTTTCGCTGTAAACAGTTACCTGGCTTTGTAAGACCAATGAAAACATTAGCTACATGTGCTAGGCCAGATAAAATTTAGGCTTGAAATCCTTCAAGATTTCTTAATTTTGGCCTTAAGAAGGGGTTGTCTCTATCTGGAAGACCCCACAGACATAAGAAGAAACAGTATGCTCGCAAGAGTTCTTCTACCAGCTGCTCATTGAAAACAGATTGGAAAAAAAAATCCAGTCTGACATTTGTTTCGGTCTGGTTGTCAGAGAATTTGTTCTTGCCTTTCTAGGTGTACATAATGTGACAGCACTGGGTAATCTGATAACCTGGCAGAAGGTGGATTATGACTTCAGTTACCACCAGATGGAATTCCCATGCAATATTAACGTTCTTATCACTTCAGAGGGCCGATCGCTCCTACCGGTATGGCAAGGTCTTCCTGAATTTGGGGAGTAACTACAGTTGGTAGCTACTTACTTAGAGCATGCCATTCCAGGGACAAGTGTAGACAGGAAAACTGTCTTGTGACCAGGGGTGGGTATGACACTCGCATTAGTTACTGCTTTCTCCCTCGTGGCTGCAGCCAGGCCAAAAACCTGTTCAAAGGAAAACGGAGAGACTGACCTTCCCTCCTCCTTGGCTGAACAGTACAGTGATGGCAAGGCTCGAGTTACTGATGGAGGCCTGGTAATGGGTAAAGCCTGCGGAGACGCTGCTGCTCTCAAAGCCTTGATCTAGAACAATGGTTCCTGAGGTGATGGGCACAGGAATAAAAAGCAACAGATCCAGCACTGATGCTGGCACGGCCTAGGCTTCACAGTTGTCTGATCTCCTGCATTCTAGCTTTATGAATTGGGCCTTTGCTCTCTTGCCTCTAAGTGAAAACTGGCTCCTGCTTGAATAAGGACTTCACGCTAGTTTTCAAGATTAAAACTGTTAAATATTTAAAGAGTTGTCTTTTCTTAATTCTGGGATATATAGATTTCTGTTGCTTTAGAGATTAACTTTGTCTTGGAATAGAAAAAAACAGGATGTGGAAAGAGATGATATGTAATTTTATTTTTCAGTCAGATTGCCAAGTCCACTTACAACCACAGATAATTCCACCAAACATGGAAGAGTACATGAACAGCCTCCTAACAGCAGTGCTCCCTTCTGTGTTGAACAAATTCCGAATTTATCTAAGTTTGTTGAGGCTGCTGGACTATAGTATATCTGATGAAGTGACCAAGGTATGGATGACTTCAATAATGTGTTTTCAACTGTATATTCAGATAAAAAGCACCTTTATAAAGAGTTACTTTCCTATTGTTCCCTGTCAGTGATTCTCCGTGAAGTATTCTGGAATGTGCCTTCAAGGCTTTGTACTCCTGAGTATTTCGGTATATACGTTACATGTACCTTGCTTTCTAAAACATCATTTTGAAAGCTAAATTCTTTTTACAGATGAGAAGTAGCTTATTTTTTACTCAAGCTTGCTTCCTGACAGCAATGAGCTGAAATGTGTCTCCTGGACTCTAAGGGTTGTTATGGTGGTTTAGCTCCTTAAAAGCTTATCTCATAGCAAAGATTCTTTTTTTGCCACTTAATTACATGCCGTATTGTTTATAGGCAGTAGAAGAAGACTTTGTAGAAATGCGCAAGAATGACCCCGAGAGCATAACAGCTGATGATCTGCACAGAACTCTGCTTGTAGCAAGGTGGGTAGTGCTGTTTGCCAGAACTAAAGGCTGTCTGGCAAGCTGGTGACAAATGCAGTTAAGGCTCAGAGTCTGCAGTTGGATTGCAGGTGCCTGAGGCTGGCCAACAGTCAAAAGATGGAATCTCCTCTTCCTTTGTTCCTCTTGTCACAGATTCTTAGGCAAAGCATTTCCTCCCATGCTTTCGAGTTCATAGGATACTGAAAGAAAACTGGTTTTGTACTGTATTAGTTTATCAAACCTGACATGTGAACAAGCTCTTAATTGCTGTTTCTGCTCCTCCAGGTTCCTGTCTCTCAGCGCGGGGCAGACGACGCTGTCACGGGAGAGGTGGCTGAGAGCAAAACAGCTGGAGGCATTACGGAAAGTCCGACTGCAGCAACAAAAATGTGTTAATGGCAATGAACTTTAATATTTTGTGGCTGTCACTATGAAAATTTGTCTAATCCTAGATGGAACCCATACTAAGATTGGAATATTGTTTATACCAGTTTTTGTAGATAATTTATACCAAAAAGTTATGGATATTTACCCTTGCAGTCTGAACACACTTAACTCTGTTCAGCCAGTTAAACATATTTTATGAAATTTTTTTGGAGCCTGTTTTGTAATTGAAAATTGGTAACAACAAGCAAATTGTTTGATATTAAACTTTAATACTGAAGTTGTGTAAACCTACTTCCTTTTAATAAGAAGAAACTTCAACCCAGAAGCAGCAGGGGTAGGCTTTAGTCTGAAATAAGTTTGTGTTGTAATTCTTGAATGGCTGAATTCTGAGGATCAGAGCTTTTGGCTAGTCTGCAGCTGCAAGAAACACTGACTTTAGTAGCCAGAACTCTGTCCTGTTGTTCCCATGAGCTAAGGCACATTGTCCTCACAGCAGCAGCATAATAGTGATTATACTGTGACACAAAGAAGTGATTTGGATCTGATCCATGACAAGGTTCTAGTATGAAACACATCATTATTGTACTAGGAGAAGAGCAGGACTTCAAAACTTTTCCCATCTGTCTAAATGACCTTTATTCTGGCACTTCTTTTTTTTAAAAAAGCATTAAGTAGAGAATGTTAGTGATGTGCTCATGCAAAACATACTCTCTACATGACCTACTACTGCAGTGTGTTTAAATTGTTTGAATAATATCAATTAAGCATTAATAATGGCCTGTATATATATCTTATGCTGTGCAGTTTGAGCTGGTTTTCAGAGAACAGACTGGCCCTAATATGACTTGCAGAACTAGTTAAACAAGGGTGGTTTAAGTAGTAAAAGAGTAGTTGGGAGTAATCCAGAAAGATGATAGAGTAGTAGTAAGGCTGTTCCTGTGGAGACAGCCTGCAAGTCAGCAATGGAGCTAATTCCAGATTTTTCTTCAACTAATCCTTTTCTAAACAAGAAAAAGTTTATATTAAGCCAATACCACCTTCAGTTAATGCTTTCTCTTGACTGATAGCATATGAAGAGGAATCCCCTTCACTGCTTTTTGTACATTTTATACTGCACAGCCCCTCTGAAACTGTCCTTTCTGCCTCTGCACACTAACTAACTGGAGTATTTACAGTAAACACTTTTTGTGTATCTTAAACTTGAACTCAATTTGATGCCCTTTCAAGTCACAGCTTATTTCTTTGAACACTAAAATGAACATTCCTGGTTTGATCTGACTTGTGCTACATTAATATGAAGTTAAGCAACTGAACAAATATAGGAAGAAAATGAAGTCTCTCTCCCAGAGGCAGCCTGGCTGGAAAGCTGAGTTGGTTTGTGAGCCTTGCCTTTCAGGGCTGCTTAGAGGATGGTTTTATATTTCCATGGATTATTTGAGACTAATCTCCAACATTTCGTAAGTATTGGACAACCCCTAAGCTGGAATACTTTTAGATCACCAAGCAGAAAGCAATGAACCAATACAGCAGGTCAGGAATTAGTTTCCAGGAAGATATGCCTGGATTCCTCATTAAGCCACGTTTTTCTAAATGTAAGAGTGACTTTATAGCTGTTAGTACCCTTGCCCTAGAGGACTCCTTTAAACTGCAGAAGTCACTATGTAAGTATTTGTATATATCATTCTCTTTCTCCTACCAAAATAATGGCAAGTATTGGGAATTTCTTCTTTCTCCAGAACATTTCAAGTACCAATGCTGAGGCACTTTAAGCAATGTCATAATAAATATGATTATAACTTGTTTTCTTTCCTCCCTTGAGGCCAGGGTTGCAGCAGTGCAACACTAGAAGAAAAGGATCAAAGACAAGACATGTATGTGCCCCTTGACTGACAGGATCTTATGTCTATAACTGCCTGAAGGGAGGCTGCAAAGAGGGGGCAGGACAAGAGGCAGTGGGCACAAACTGAAACACAGGAGTTTTCCCTCTGGATGTCAGGGAACACTTTTTACTGCTGGGGTGGTAGAGTCTTCATCCTTGGAGATACTCATAAGCCATCTGGCCATGGTCCTAGGCCACCAGCTGCAGGTGGCCCCGAGCAGGAAACCTCCAGCCATCCCTTCCAACCTCAACCATCCTTTGACTCTTAAGCCAGAGAAAGTCAGGAAAACCCACCCATCTTTGAAACTTAAAACACCACAGTCCTGGAGTACCTTATCCCTTAACATCATGTGCCAAAACACAACTTTTGATTCCACTTTTTTTATTAAAATATCTCATGTATATTGCCCACATTAAAATACAGCAGTAGTTTAATTTTAAATATAGCCACAAGTAGACATTCAAAAAACCCAAACCCACATCACTTGTAACAAATAAATAAATCAAATTTGCTTATCAAAGTTTCAGACCATGAGGGTTAGATGATAATAATTTCAGACGCACTACAAGTCCTAGGACACTGTACTACCCTACCCATATGACACTATTTCTTGGAACACCACGTGCAGCCTATCTACAGTACATGGACTAGAACACGGAGGCACTGGGTCTATCATGGTGGTTATAGTTACAAACCACAGCACAGTAAGATCCTGGTTTACAGTAGCTTTTGGATAATGTCCTATACTAGAATGGCATGGCAAGGCATTTTTGGGAAAGAGTAATTTAGATAGATTTAATCTTTTGACACACATAGATAAGGGTTGGTTTTCTTTATCCCATTCTCTGCATGAGGAGTGGATGCTTAGCCTTATCCTGCAAGTATACAAAGCTTGAGTTGGTAATGAATTTGGTTTTGATTAGATGCTGACAACTACATTTTAATGCAACACTGATTTTATGAAACCATACACTTGCCTTCTGTTTTAGAAGCTATCTGGACTTCTACATCTGGAGAGTTAAAATATAGCTTAAAAAAAAGGAAGAGTACAGAGGGACACAGTGCCTGAAGGTCAGGCATCTGGCTTGTCTTGTTCTACACAGACAAAAGTTACAGCTAATTACCAGTGTTTGCAATTCAGAAAAAAAAAAAGGAATAGCTTTAGCATGGGCAAGACAATTAGAGGACTTTTGCTCCATTTCCCCCTCACCTCAAAACAAGTGAGGAAAAAAAAAATACCTACAAACTAAATTTGCACTGCAGGATCGTGGATTCTTCAGATTGGATCGATATGCTTTATTTTTACTAAAAGTATTCCAAGATGTGTGGAAAGAAAAAGAAATATTAATTTTTGATTAACATAATTAAATTCAACTGAAACGCATCGATTCCCATTGTAGAGGCACAATTCATAGAAAGCTGCATCTAAAATGTCAATGGAAACAAGTAAAAATACTAGTCCAAAAATAAATAAAGTGTAATATACTGTAAGTTATTTTTGCTGGTACAGTGCAAGGTAAGTAAGGTCACAGAAGTGCAGTATCACCTTTTTAGTATAAATATTTTCTACATAAGTCAAAAGAGCTACAAAATTAGTCTCCAAAAATAACTGTGCAACACATTTAAGACAGACAGCATGCTTATTAAATCCCAGTGTCTAAGCTACCTGTTTAAATATGGATTACTGTTCTTTTGTCTCAGCTGCCTGAAGGAATTCTGAAGCTTGGTCAGAACCGAATTCACTTGCATCTCTCACTTCCTGTAAACAAGTTTTATCTGTATTATTGATCCCAGTATTCAGTAGCAGTTCATGCCACAGTGAGACCTAATTTTTTTAGTATTGTATTAAAAGCCACAACTAGAAGAACACTTCCTAGATGAACAACTAGATTTGAATTATTCTTGTCTGGCATTGCGTAAACATTTCTTTCAGTTCTTTTTGTTTCATTTCATTTATAGCTTCTGGTTCTGCAGGGCTCTTCTGGACCTTTGCCACAGCAAAATTAATCCCTTGAGTCAATCCTGCTTGCGTGATGTTAGCGACCTGGACCATGGAACTGCGAATTTTAGCAAAAGGAGATACAGCTCTGCTGCTGCTACTGTCAGCTGGAGAAGGAGTCATGTGGAGTCCCGTCTCAAGGTTACCAGAGACAGATCCTGGGCTTTTATGAGATTTAAAGTCAGTCCCACCAACAGCTAAGAGCTGAGGACTTGGCTCAGAAGACTGTACATCCAGCTTAGATGGCCTGGAAGGAATGTCTCTGATAGCTTCAGCCTTGGTTTCTGCCTTCTTACATGTATTATTGCTGGATGGATTTCTTACATGATGGGGCTCTTGAGAACCAGCCTCAGCCTCCAAAACATCTGACATCTTATTTTGAGCATCATGCACAAACCTCTGGCAGTACACATCAATCGGTTTAGCAAATTCCATCCCTGCATCGTCAGCAGAAGCCATGGGTGTGTCCTCACAGTCAGACTGGCTGGCCTGAGACACGTGGATCTCGGACGGAACGTGAATGCTGATGTTCATGTCAGTGCTGCTTATAGACTGGGACCGACTGCCCAGCCGTGGAGCCGAGGCAATGATACCACAGCTGGGCAGCACATAGTCTGCCTGCCCTATGTTCTCCAGAGAGTCAGTTAGCTGGTTGTCCTCATCGGATTTAGAATTACTCAGGAAGTCATCGGAGTGGAATGAATCATTATCTGATACTTCTGTATCAGATTCAGTATGGACTTTAGCATCTACCACTGGATTCTCTAAAGTTTCAAGGCTACTATCTGATTTCCAAAGATTCACTTTCAAATTTGGTTTCAAAAAATTTACTTTCACTTCAGGTTTGGTAAAGCTGCCTAACTTCCGAAGATTGCTAATATTTACGTTGGACTTGGTTTGTTTTACTTTTTGATTGAGAGATGAGAACTTGCTCAGTAAATAATTCTTGCCTTGAGCCAGGGACCCTCTGTTCTGAGACCGAATGCCAATGATGTCTTCGTGAGGTTTACTGCTCTTCCTGGAAGGAAAAAAATCTCTAATGTACAATCAAGGCATCTCATTTATAAACACCAAGTATTTACCATCTTAAAGAGTTTCCATAATGGAGATGGACATTTTTGTTACTAAATTATTCTTTCCTTACATAACTGTACCTATATAAACTAATCAAATTTGAAACAACATAAAGGAAGGTGGATACAGAATGGTAGGCAAGCAAGGGAAAAAAATTAAAAAGCTTCAAGCTTCTGCAGGCATTTTTAGTTGTAGATGAAACTGGATTTGAATTCTCTGTATTTGTAACCCTGACTTTATGTATGTTCTACTCAGTAGCCAGATTTAGCAAACATCTAGTCTCTAGTACCCGTTAAAATGAACAACATTTTCTTGCTCCACTTTCTACTCAGCTGGGAAAAGAAGTTGAAATAGTAGCCCAATAATCAAATAAATCAAGTTATTTGAATGTGCCCTAGTAGTTTGCAACTGACAATTTACAATTGTGCTACATAACATTTTGTAGTAGTCATACAGCCTGATTTGGAAGAGCTCAGAATAATGCAACAGATCACACTGAAACTGGTAAAGCATGCTAAACTTCAGCTAGTCATCTTCTCCTATTTCTACTCCATTGTCCTTTGTAAATTATTTTCTCACCATTAACACCTCAACAATATTAGATTATTTGTTTGATTACAGACAATTGACTTAAAAATACTTACTAGAGCTTTTTTAGGTAGTTTTCTCTATCAACTATACCTTCGTGTGCCCTCTTCTCTTAATCGGCTTGCAAACCAAAAACTTCTGTATCATGCTGACTAACACTTAAAGAGTTCAGAAGTTTAACTTCAGCCATTTCTTCACACAAGACCTGTAATGTTATCTGGATTTGTTAAACACTCAACTGCAGTGGAATCCAAACTAGACTTACACTTCACAGGTTGCCTGACTACAGAAGCAGACATTAAGTTCAGATAGGAAAAATTAAAATTGTCAAACTAACCATGAACCATCTGATTTGCAATCTGTTGTTTACATTTGGTAGCATATATTGTCTATAAGCCCACAGGTACAAAATAGTGTTCTTGCTTATACTTTTTAGATAAGCACCTGCAGACAGTTGTTATTGGAAGCAGCACACAGAGGAATTAACTGCTAGCACAGTACAGCTAGGGGCATTTCTTTGAGGCATCACATATGGCTGTTACCACATACTGTTACAACCACTGAGAAGAAAGCAGGAGTGCGACACAGAAGGTTCACGTCATTTAAGGACTCACCTCTCCAGCTTCTTCTCAATAATAGGAACATCTAATCCCATTGCTTGCTTTGTGATTCTCAACATTTCTGCAATGCACTGAAGAGTGTCTGAAATCCAAGTAGCAGCCTGTCAGACCCTTAAAAAACCCTTAAAATCCCATATTCCAAAATCTACAAAGAAATCAGTCTAATTTTAACATAATTAAGTTAGTTTGGTTTTGCTGGCTGTTTTTCCTCTTTCACCCCACAGAATAGTTGCACCTTACAAGCTGCAATTCTGATTCAAATTTTACAAAATAATCCTAAAGAACAGACTCTCTTTAAGCCCTAAATACTGGGTGTAAGTGAATCACTGCCACAATTCATCATTTGTGGAAGGAAGAGAAGCAATTCTCTTTATTCTAATCCTTGTTGACAACACTCAGTGCTCCAGGTAAGAAGTTATTTTTCCCTTATTAGTGTTCATTTCAGTTAAACAAGCAAGAACATTTGTAGACACTGATTTCACTAAATAAATTTCTTCTGCTCTTTAGGAGCTAATTTTAAATTCATTTTATCAGGTTTTGGAGCAGTGAAGATCCATACATGGAAATGTCTCAATTCTAGAGACATGTTGCTTTAAAGCCACATCTGAAACTTATTTTTCTTTATATTAAACCAGTAACATTCTAGTGCTCACACAGGTAGCCACATACAGAGGGGTTTTTTGCTGATTCCCTACCCCACACAACTGGATTATATTAAATCTATCCTTCTTCAGAAGTCATTCTAAGAGCAATGGAAAAAGTGTTCCCTAGAGAAACACTGATACACTGAATACACTTTGACGTATAAAACTTTTACATATGAAACAAACCTTTTCCATCTTCTTCTGGGTTGCGAACCACAGCTCTAAGAGTGTGGAAATATCCGCTCGTTTCTTTGTATTTGTAATGCAGCCTCATGCAAGAAAACTTGGGTTTGCCAAAGAGAGTAGGCTCAGGCCCTGAGAAATAAACCAGGAGATTAGAAATTTTCTTTAACCAAACACTGAAAGAAATATTTCAAAGACTACTTAAGCATATGTAAGCATTGACAGTCTCTCAGCTTGAAAAGCTTCATGTTTTCTTCAAAGTAAGAGACGTTTTAAATGAAGTATTTTCACAAAAAAATAAATCAATTACAAAAAGCAATTAGACTTTGTGTATATCTATTATAATCCAGCCTGATTGCTTATTACAGAGCACTCTTTCAAATAGAAAAATAAAGCTACACCTATTGCATCCTGTGTTTTAGGGTATGCTCCTGCAAGGATTAAAGAGAAAGCTAATATATTTTTACCAAGGGAAGAAATGTGAGTCAAGATTTAGACCAAGCATTTCAACTTTCCAATGCACTGCATCACATCTATATCATTAAATGGGAAGAGGGGTTGTTTTTATAAAGTATTTAGTCCAGATGTTTCAACTATATTCTGTCCGTCAGGATGCATTACAGATCTCCACAGTACACAAGTGAGAGACTTTTCCACTGAATTCTTAGTAATTCACTTAGAACAGTGAAAGTTACAGCAAGGAGCTGATGAAATCACTATGTATTGTGTAATGGGGTTAAACTCTAGCAAGGGGGTGGGGCCACAAAAATTCCCCTCCCTTCTCTTCAACTGAAACACTGTAAAGTTAAGAGATAGCACATCTTTAATACTTTTAGCACAAAATGCTGGATTTAGCCTGCAAATGTTACATTCTTTAGTCAATAAATAAGTTTAATCAGCATAAGAAGGTGATTTCATAATAGCGTGTTTCTTAACAGACCTTGAGAAAGAAAAGTTTTAGCCATAAAACAGATCTAAAGTACAATTCGGAACCAGCTGCTGTATTTGGATCAAAAAGAGTGCACTGAATGCACAAACCTGTGATTTATTACAGAAGTTGATCAAATTGTTACTGCCATTTGATAAATAATGACATTTGTTTGGAGGAATCCATGGGGGTTTTTAAGAGTTTGAAAGAGGAAAGATTTTAGAAGCCTGCCAGTGA